AAAGTCGAGAAGTGAAATATTGTCATCGTGAGTTATTAGATTTATTTGTGAAGAGCATAAAAATGTATATTTTAATAATCGCTACATACTATATATATAGAATGATATATATTCAACTCCTTCTTTTCTCTTTGAATTCTCTATTAAATAATCTATTAAATAATTTCTCATATTATTTCACGAACCGTATTATATTTTTTTAATTAATAATGGTACCTGTGCTTTTTCAGCGATTGCCGTGATATATCTGCGCCATGTTATCCCGAGTAATCTACCGGAGATCGAAGCTTAAGCCACTGATTGAAAAATTGTACGTTAATCTACATTTAAGTAATACCCGATAATTCCGGCTAATGCCTCAAGCTTGTGCATGTGTAATTAAAATTTCCCAGCACTTTATCTCTGTCCTCTTCCACGTGCACGCTAAAATTTCAACTCGGTGCATGCGACAAGTAGCACGCGTACAGACTTTCGGCTGTGCTTAAAGTTCCAAAGTGCTGTGATATAGTGCCGCCGGTTATCGTAGCGACTGCATTCATAGTTCCGCGAATTTATACACAATATTTGCATCCGTCGTTGGATGCGCAGCAGCTGATTCGCGTGAGGACCGCGGGGCGGAAAGAGCGGGAGGGAGAAAAGGGAAGAGCTTGAAATATTAATATCACGCATCGGCTACGAGCGATATGATTCGACGGAGAAATATTGTGTTAAAAATATCCGCGCATCTGGCATCCGGGTGAAATTTAATAAAACGCCGGGACATCAAATCCGAATATATCTATTTTGCCCGTCATTTTCCCTGGATACGACGTTTATTAAATCGTAATTAATGTCCGCATCGCCCGATATTACGTTATTATTTTAGTGAATTTTCCGCGTGAGGTAAAACACCGTGCAATCCTCGCCCGGTATCAACTATGATCTCTCGATTAACGCAAGCCGCATGATACATCATAGTGCTTCTAACGCCGAGCTGACGATCGAGGTACACCATTATTGGGTCAGGCACGATAAGTAAGTTACGTGCTACTGAAGTTTCTCGCGGACTGCGAACGGGCGTTTCTCACGACACAGCAGCGTTTAAGAAGCCGCCGTTAGAAACAGTTCGTTTAATACCGCCGCTCTCAGGATTAGACGGGATAATCCATTTAATGCTCGTTTACGAGAAGCTCTTTTAGACGCACAAAGGAATTTCTCGACATTCTACTGTAAAAAAATTCAATGCTCCGGCAAGTGAGAAATAGAAGTGGTTGTGCCGTGCTTCTCGGCGCACTACTTCATCTCCCCTCTCTTCATCTCGACTGCTTTTCCGAACGGTATCGCATTTTCGTTCGTCTCTTCTACAACGTTGGAAAAAAAGAAAGTAATTGGAGAAGTGCGATGATCGAAAGGCAACTGCAGAAACAATATCTTGATATCCCGCTCGTTAGATTAATTGCATTTGCAATCCGCCTTTTCTACCGCCACGCTGCGTTGCGTGTAGATATTGTGTTCGTAAAATCCAATTCCGATTTTACAGCGCCTTTCCTCTGACACACACACACACACACACACACACACACACACACACACACACACACACACACACACACACACACACACACACACACACACACACACACACACCACGCGCGCGCGCGCATGCATGCATCCAATATATCTTTTTTTATTCACTGTGTTAATTCTCTTGATATCGATATAATGGTTCATATATAGATATATGGATTTTATTTTTTAATGTTAGTCTCATACCGAGCTGTGATGAGAAGCTATCATAAAATATCGGTTCTTCGATGAAGAAGAGCGCGCGCGATGACATCCATTATACCAGAAATATCTTGGGACGTCCTTGAGAGGATCTCTCTTTTCATTTAGAAAGATTAAAACGGAAGCTGATAGAAAGACGTCGCGCACTGCTAGGCTGCGTTTTCCTAGACTAATAACTTCTGACCCTTGCTTCAGATCTACAGCATTCGCCGGCTTTAGAGCGTGTTCTTCACGGCACATTAGCGATTCGTAACATTTCCCCTTCGTGGTCATTTATTCATTCGCTTTAGGAAACTGTTTGCTATATCAACTGTTTGCGACGAATGGAGGAATATTCGGTTGTGTGTACACGTTACAAAGCAATCCCGTGTTCTCCACCCTCCCAGACTAATTGCTCCTGACCCTTTTAGCACGAAGCTGCGCCGAATACTCGTTTCTACGTCATCTCGGGATGCGAGCTTGATTTTTTTGAAAAAAAAAAAAAAAAGAAAAAGAAATTCGAGAAACGTACGCTTCCAAGAACTTACAATTATGGCGCAAACAAAGAACGTTACATTTCCATGGAGTAAGAGAAATTTTTGAAAAATATTTTCGTGCAAATGTACAATTAGTCGTATCACTCTGTATTGCATAATCCAGATATTACAAAATTTCAATAGCCTCATTTCGAACTGAATTCTGTACAGTTTATTGATTTTCGTGACATCAATAGAATATCATACAATTGCACGCGTTGAAATTGAAACTGCAGTCGTAACTGCATTACAGCAAACTGGCAATCGGATTCTCAAATTGCGGTTATAATTTTCAAATTGCCATTATTTAATAGGCTACAGTTTACGCCATTACGTCGAACTGAAAGAGAAGAATTTAATAGAATGACTGAATGTTCATAGCATAGAAACATACGTCTTTCATTAAAGATGAAAGTTTCAGACATTGGAAATTTTTTCGATGTACTTGTCAATTAGAATACGATATTAGAGACATCGTTTGTACGTGAATTAAACGAAACTTATTTCACGGTCCATTGTCTCGTTTGAACTTTCACAAAAGTTCAATCGATAATGAAACCTCTGATTTGTTCCTTCAAATCTTCGTCTCAGTAATATTTATCCAGAGCTTTAACGCAATATGCTACGTTTTCAGAATATTTCAATTACTTCCAACTCTCGCGAAACGTTTTCTCCAATTATATTTGTTATAAAAGATATCAAGTGAAAACAAGGAAAAGACATGAAAAAACATTTATTGCGTTTATTTTAGTTCTCCCGACTTCGTTTGTCTAAAATAAACAAAGGGATTAATCGTTTCGCCTCTGTTCCATAATTGATGGAATTTGGGGAAAAGCGAAAAGAATCTGTCTTCCACGAAGTGAAAATTACTTCTACAAAATTATGATATAAAACAACGCAGTCAACAAGTATCGTTCGGGGTACGTTCCATTTTATTCGTTAATATGAATTTCACGTCACGTTCCGCTTTCATGCCTATTCTTGCAAGAAACTATTCATTTCCACTTCACTCGACGAATATCGAGTGCCGATAATGGGCTGTGTATGTGGCTTAACGCCTCTTGGATTTGCACACGACGTTATCATCCTAAGTGCCGCGTTCTCGTCTTCTCTAATCTGCCATCAAACGCCGTTAACTCTCTGAAATACCAATGACATTTGCCAACTACAGATACGATCGTGACGGAATCAATCCAACGGATTGGATAGCGATGGAAAACTCATCGAGGTGCTGCAGCATTGAATTGCAATTCAATAATCAAAAGTGGCTGATACTATCTCAATGATGATACTTATATGATTTGATACTTATATGATTTCAATTGGCATCATATATTTTTCAAGATGTAACGAAAAATATAATCTTATCTCTCTTTTTTTAAATGTAACATAAATATTTTCCCGAATATCAATTTATTTCACATTAAGAAGTTGTTATTTATGACTATCGGAGATGGTTTTATACACAAAACAACTGCAGATACATCAGTGATAAACAATATGTATGTACGTCGCATATCTTTTTAAATTGCTTACTACGCAATTTATTACGCAAGTTCTAAAGCTGTGAGGAAAGCATTGTGAAAGCATTATGAAAGGAGTACACATTAGCAGAAGAGACAAGACTTACGTGCCAAGTTTAATGTAAAAGGCTTTGAGTAAGAAGCTCTATACCTTTGTAAGACAAGGTTTGAAAACATCGGCCGTTCGCGTGAGTCGCTAACGTGGTTTGCTTCCGCGTAGAGGAAGAACTTGGAAACTCCTGCTTTCTCTAACGGCAGGAAACTTTTCGTTGAGATTTATTACATATTTCTGACCCAGTTCTCAATGAAAAACTGTCCCGATTCCCGTGGTGATCTCCGTAACTGCGCACGCGTTTATCGTACGGAAAGTTTGATAGCGGTTTATATATAACAGGAGGAAAATACGGAATTTGTGCAGTATCGTAATTGACAGAAACATATTTAAACGCGCATTATTATTAATGTATATGCTCCATAACGGAGCAATAAAGATAAGCTTGCTGGGCTATTAGACAGCGCGGGATAACAAAGTATTTGTAGAACATTGTTGATTTATATATAATTTATCTCTCGCTCTCTTCAGAACGCAGTCAGTTAAATTAAGGCAAATGTCGTTTTCCATTTATCCGTGCCGACATTTAGGTCGATGTGATAAATATAAATTCGACCAATCGACGCGCAGATACTGCACATCAAAACGACCCCAATTCGGCGTCTCGTTTATCACGATCGTTGCCGTCTTTGAAAACGGAACTCGGTCGCACTCCAAATCCGCGGTTATGTCGGCTTTAAGGGCGAGAAGAGTAAGGAAGAAAATTCACAAACAGAGGAGGAGTGAGGAGACGTAGAGGATAAAGTAGAATAAAACCTCGAGCGAGCTGAACCAATTGCGTGTCACCGCCTGCACTAATCCGACTTTGAACTCATCGAAAGAAAAGCCGTATAAGAACCAGCTGATTCTCTTCGCGTATTAAAACTATTCAATTTATCAGATCGTCTTTAGGTCTCGGTTTTCATCTAAGGATTTGAGTGCATGCAACATCGATTTGTAAATTTTGCTACTAATGCCAACAAGATATTAATTAGAGGGATACATGCTGGACAACGACAAAGCGCGCTACGATGAGGACGCGCCAGGATTGTGTACGTAACGATAGCGAAAGCTGAAGAAATGAAATCGTCATTTATTTAATACCGAAGGGTTAGTCAAGAGGGTCACTGCGGCTCTTAGATGCTTCAGATTAAGTGTCTGTGTGTCCTCGAAATCGTCACCATCTTCTCCTAAAAGCGACGATGTTATCTGTACCGATGATTGCCGCGATGCTTTGCTTCGCTCGTCCTGTCTGAGTCTCGCGGTCCTGCGGTGGTCCCCTTCCCTGGTATTATCATCCCTGTGAGTTAGTTTGAAGCGTCTGCTAGAGAATGGACATGCCATCTTGCAAATTTGCCGCTTATTGTAGTCCAACGGGAGGCTCGCCCACAGATTATCAAGTGAGACGTGAACACGCGGTGTTAATTAATAAGGAACATGCCGCGCGTCCCGTCGTGTTTATCAGCGATCAGCTGGTGCTGGACTTTTACGTCCGTGTGTACTTCCGCACTCTCTAATAAATTTTATATGAAGCTGGTGCTCTTTTACGAGACTGTTCTCAACCCTAATGTCATATCATACGTGTCTTAAACGGCGTTCGAACATGTGAGACCGATCCGAAAATTTGAAGCTATCATTGCCTTCGCGTTTTTTTCTCGATTGCCGTATTGGCGTTATCGGTACCGATGTTGATGATGACCATCGAGGGGCCCGTCATTCTCGATCGCGCGTTATCGTTTACCGCACGTTGTGGAGAGAAGCCTTTCGTCACCGCAACGCGCTACTGGCGCACGTTATCCGGCGTCGTCTACGACCACCGTCAGGCCGGACGGGCTGCACGCGGTTGCATATTAACGCGTGGAAGTTAATCTCGCCCTTTCGAATTCTCTTCTCTTTAAAATCGTATTTTACATTTTTTTTTCTCTTCCCCCACGGCTTTGTGGAGCCGTTCTCGTTACCTGGTTTCTCGTTTTGTACCCTTTACTCGCAATCTCGCTCCTTCGGGATGTCAAAAGTACGATCCAGTCGCGCGAAATCGACAACCGTAATTCGCGCGCGGATTCACCCTGTCAGAGACGTGGTGGCTCGTCGACGAATACACAGACACACGAATGAACGACGTGACAGCTACGTACGTTGCCGTGCCAGAGCGCGTAGCGCCATACTGCTCGCGGATTGACCGAGGCGCAACGAGCAACGCTCCGAGGTGGCGGAGAGGAGAGGAGAGCGACGAGGAAGGCACCCGAGCGAGGGTGAGTCGACGGCGTAAGGGGTGCGCGGAGAGTGGAGGCGCCACGATGGAGGGCAACGGAGACGCCTGCGCGTGTTTTCCAGCCTCCCTCTCAAACTACCATGCTTTCCATCCTCTCCGCTCGTAGGTCGCAGAAGAGAAAATCTACCTGCCTGCCTACCTGCCTGCCTGCCTGCCTGCCTGCTCGCCCTGCCTGCTGCTTGCCTGCTGTGCTTATTTGCTTATCTTACCTGGTTGACTTGCTTTGCAATTATCTGCTGGCTTTTACATACGTTTCTCTACTGCAAGATTTTCAAGAAATTTAGCATATATCTCATTAATCATTATTAACTTGTGTAATTTACTCGCTAAGTGGCATATGCAGCTGACAGATGAAAATCTTGTATAAACGACATATATGCTCGCTTATTCCAGGAATTTATTGAACATCAAACATATTTGTAATAAAATTAATAGAACGCAAATTGCGTGCACAGAATGCAAATTGCAATTCTTAGAATTATTAAAATTGAAGAGAAAAGAGGAATGCAACTGACAAATCTAATCGTCGTATTTTCTCTCCGCGAAATTAAGTAAAAAAGAAAATCTGTTATATTAAAAAAAAGCAACTATTATCTCAAAATTGTTTATTACCATTACAGTAAATGCATATATTTTTAATTTTATAATATTTAAATAATGTTTAAATTATTTTATCTCTTATCGTTGAATTTTATATAACTTTTGTTTCTTTTATGATCAAGATCTTGATCTATTATCTTTTGCATCTCTTGAGATAGTCTAGTAAGTTGATATTATATATTCATACCAGGCAACGTTTACCGCGAAAGTTGCAACGACATCATTGTAATTATTATACGTTCACAATAGATAATTATTGTACGTCTAAAGTTACAATATAAAGATAATTTTTAATTAAAAATTTTTCAAAGATTTTCTCTTATCACGGATAAGTTTTAAATTTTTTTTAACATTTTTTTAAAACAAGTATTTATAATAAAAATATTTGTATTCTATCAAAAGCGCAAAAAAATTAATTAATCTTGATTATTACAAAGATTTAGATAGCATCTAAATAACAGACATATGATCTGAACACAAGAAAGTGATACACTACGAAATTAAACCGCCTAAGACCTCCCAAGTTAATGGCACATTTCTCCTTTGGGAATAGCGAGATATTTGAAGTATATCCTATTACTTTTATACACTTTTATACTACTGTTCCTTCTGCGCGTTTTATTACTATGGACAAATCCTATTCTGTGAAACTCTAGCGTAACCACTTAGGTGCCATATTCTTCGGAATGCTTTAATGCTTTCCAATGCGGACTTGTAATATCGATAATTATTACGTTTAATATAATTATTCAAATGCCATATTAACGCGATAATGTTAATAATTATTAATGTAATTTGATTTATTTTATCCTCTCCTAAATGATTCTTTAATTATAAATCGTGATAGAGTGCTAAAACGGGGTTGCATGAAATTATATCGACGAAACAGGCGAGAATATAAAGGATAGTGGAATGGATGAGTTTGGTAACGAAGTTTGTCCAGCACTTTTCTGTCTCGTATCTGTGCTATAGACGTAGGATAGGATATTCATCTCGATGTTCGACAATTCGAAGCGATCGATGTGTACCATTATCACGAGGAACGTTGCTTTGTGCCACAGCTGAATGTCAGTGGTCTGTCTAAAAGGAAGCCAGTTGGTCCGATCATTGCTCAGGAGATTCCCAACGGAAACGTGCCGTAAATTACAATCATTGTAGAGATCTGTGTAAATAATGGTGGAAAGAGAGAAAAACCACAAATACAAAAAATAAAACACACTGCACAAATAATGCAATTACAATGCTAGTGTGGGCGATTCTCATAAAAAAACAAATATTTAATACGCAGCATCATGCGATGATATTTTTTTCTACATATATAAGTGTCGATAGGTTATTGCTGAGAAAATAATCACCCGATTGTGATAAAATAGGGGCAATGAGGATATAAATATCTTCTAAGAGCGACGCATATTGGATGTTGCAGAATCAGTATATTAAATCAGCGATTCATAGTTCGTTAAGACCTCTCGAATTGTCTGGATGAATCTGTTGTTTTCATTATTTTGCACTGATTATTATTTAATAAATTAACCGCTAAGTCATTATAATAATGCATAATAGACATAATTTATTACTACGTTGTGTTTTACTAAAAGAACTGTAGATTTTAGTAAATTGCACTTACTTGTGTATTGGTATATTTTAATTTATGAATTCAGAATTAAATCTCATTGCAAATAATTGCGAAATACTTTTTATATATTTTTATTTATTAATATTGAAGTGGTAGGTAGTAACAGAAATAAAAATTATGTTTAACATATGAATTAAAATAAATGGAAGCGCTAGTTAAAAATATAAAATATACTGTTAGTTAAAAAATATAATATAATATAATAGTTAAAAAATATAATATAATATAATATACTGCTAGTTAAAAAATATAAAATATACTGTTTCTAATATTATAGTTATTTTGTCATGATGCGCGTATTTATAATACACAATTGTAGCAACAATGCGTATTACTCAAAGATTACAAATTTAATTAATTAAATGAGCGCGAAAATTTATTATTATTATTATACGAGTTTGTAAACATGCATACGCGATATTAACGTGCATACTAGCCGTACGTATAATGCATTCCATTAATAACCGCAGACAACTGATCCGCGCGTGGTCAAAGGAACGTGTAATACTCTGCTGTTTCAAATCGAATTACATATAACCATTAGTGACTGCATTTTTGGCAGCATATTGAAACGCCGCGAATGCGAAAATACGGTTTGTGGAATGTGTTTTCCATTTGCCAGATTATCTCCATTCGCCAGATGTGAAATTTGACTACAGTCTCATGGTTTTTCTCTTTTACTATGCAATTTTTGGTTTTGTTTTTCGTTTTTCCCCTACTCTTTGTCCCTTTTTTCATTCTCTCTCTCTCTCTCTTTCTCTCCTCTCTCCTTTGTCCTCTCTCCTCTCTCCTCTCTCCTCTCTGCTCTCTCTCATTTGCTCTCTTTCACTCTTTTTGGCAAATTTATTCACCGTAAAGACTACATTTTTATTTGCTGAGTTTGCGCTTACAGTATCGCAACGATCTCATGTTTCTTTCCTGCGTATAATTTTAAACCAATTTACGTGTATCTTGCTTACAATTGCAAGAGGTCTTTATTCGCGCGAAGAGAAAACGTGCCCTATTTTAAAAACAAATTTATAATGTTTAAAAGAGACAGGAATAATATTACATAATTTTATTTCAGTGTAAAATATAGTTTATATGACTCCTAATGCATGATAATGTAAACTTAAAAAGTCGCTATTTATTTAAAAAATGGATTTTACATTTTTATATTTAATGCTTTTCTTTTATTAATAAGTTATGTAATATAAGAGCTTTTATTTTAACTCACGAATATATCTATGTGATTTAATATAATATGATCACGGTTCGCTAAGTTTTTTCACCTTCTTTTAATCACGATGAGTTCCAGCTTATCTTAAGACACAGCTGAGCCGCTGAGTTAGCAATACTTATCCAAGCTTACTGGTCACTTTCTATTTATCTTTTAAGGAGGAAAAGAGGAAAAGAGATTTATCCCACTTTATATATGTACTTGTGTATCTTCTTTTCTTTTTATAAATTATGTAATTTATTCTGCGGTAGTAATCAGAATCAAAATGTTTTTAGTAATTGGTTGTCGTTACGTATTTTCGAAGAAACTTGTAAATATATATGCATTATATATATAAATGCATCTTGGCACTTTCTGAAGAAATACCAAAGATTTTGGATTACGATACAATAATACACGATACAATGTTTATAATGCAGCTTTCATGACTAAAATGCATATTATTAAAGATAAATACAAGAAACAACGAGTAGATAATTTTTGTAAACAAATTAAGTTGTTGGAAATATTTGTCCTGTTAAAAAAAGAAGTGTACGTGAGTTAGTAACCAGCCCACATAAACTCAGAAATTATCCTAAAGGACAGCCTCATAAAACTTGGTGATCAATAACTGTCTGGTGATCAATAACTTAGGCGAGCGTTGACGGTGAGATTATCAAGACGCATCGTTTTTGTGATGATGGAAATGTGACTTTTTATTAGCAATCTGGAGTCATATTTGTTAGATTTTCTTTCCGTAAAGAAATTCCTTTAAATTAACGTGAAATTGTAGACTAAAAAATAATTTACTAATCCAGTATTGTTGTACAACGCAATATCAGACTGTATAATGCATAGAAAAATGCGAGCCGTTTGTTAAAAAACTAGCTACCGTCAGTCACCTAACTATAGCCAGTTACAAATTGCTATGACCTTGCTGACAAGTGAGTTCGTGGAAGAAATATTCCGTGTAATAGTTTCCCGTATATTTTCTACCTTTTCAGAATTTCATGGAACAGCTTTCCGGAAAATAGCGAAGTATTATGTATTCTTGTCGCGTTGGGACCGGTTACTGCTGCATATCGAAGAAAAAGGTCTGATATTCCCGGACAAAATTCCGTGCAAATACGAATGATAGTTTCATGATAACGCAAATCGATTATCCTCTTCGTTTATTTGTGCATCCATTAACTGTTCCATTACGTACAATTACAATAATTAGGGCACGATAATAATCACGCATTTTAAAAATTAATATACGTATTTGTATTTTAGTTAATATACGTATGAAATTATGTATATATTACAAATGCTTATCGTTTTTTTTTTATATTAAATTTTCATATAACAGGGAGCAAGGGAGAGATATTGATGATATTAGTATTTATATCTTTATTAGAGTACACAGTTACATATTTCACATATTCAAGTCACTAGAAGCTCTTTATTGTATGCATTCTCGAAGATTTTATAGCTCGATAGGAACGAAACAAAGCGATTTTCACTCCCCTTTATTTCTTTTTTTTCTGTTTGCTCCACGCGCGTGCATCTGATGGCTTTCCTCAAGGCATGATATACTATTTTCTAGAATTGTTTTCACACACACACATCCATATTATAGCGATATGAATCATCGTGTAGAACACATATCTTTTATGTTCTTTCTTTAGATTATAGTCGCAGAACTTATATTTCAGACATAAACGAAGTCATGTTATATATTCTATCGGATTATTTAACTGTAAAAACTTTATTACTAGTTTTATTGCTACTTTAAAAGTTATAAAAATCATAGATTTTTTTCACGTGCGTAATACTTTTTTATAAATTATTTTCAATGCTTTTCACATTTATTTAATAAAATTATAAGAACATATTTATTTCGCTTGCAGCTATGAATATTTCTTCGAACCAATATTTGAATTGATTGAAATTGGTTAAACACATACAAATGTAATAGCAAATATTCAGAAATAGGGAGCTTTAGTTTTCGATGATTTTATTTATCTTCGTCAGATGCTGCAAGTAGAAGAAGCTGCATATCGTATGAATACGCCAAATATACGAATCTCTCTTGAAATTCTAGTTTTGCAAGATAGAAATTTGGGTCACGTATCGAAATTTCAAGACTACCTTTACTCGATTTATTTGTACTTTCGACTTCAGCCGCGCAAAAGATTTCATTTTAATTGAAGTGATCTTAATGGGCACGCTTCGTGCGCCAGTCGAATCTACAAGCGCAAAAATCGTGTAAGTCGACATTAATCTTCGCCTCCTGGCGAGATCATGGAAAAGAGGGAAATTGATGGTTGCGCGAAGATGCCGCCCTACGAACATTACCACGCTCCTTGCCCGAAGTGTCGTTTCATTATAAAAATCGACAAGGGACAGGGTGGAATCTGCCATCGTCGACCTCCATCAGGATATAAAATCGATAATGCAGGTCATCGAAAGGCATCCGGTGACGTCAGTTATCTCTATGTTATGGCCACCATTACCGCGAGCTTCGGCTGGTACACGCATTTCTCGATCTTCCCCGGCAGAGGGAAGACCCGGTCATCGATATTCGGCGCGTGACGGTATTTTTAATTAAGTCCGGGGTGCTATTTATCATTGTCGAGGTCGGCTGAAGGATCTACGTGAAAGTCATTGATTAACTACTTTCGGATATGGGAGAGCAGCTGAAAGTGATAATGATAAATTAATTGGCTGCCATGTAAAACCAAAGTTTGTTTCGGAATTAAAATACTTTTTGAATCAACTGCACTCTTCGGCATCGTTGCACGCGTAATTGAATCAAATTTTATTCTAATAAATATGTTTCAAGATAAATTTGTTGTTGATTACTTTGAAATATCGATTCATAGAGAACAAATTTATCGTACATAACACATATGTAGCGAGATTCTTGCACACATATCACATCAATTGGATTATACGTTTTTCATGTAATAAGTGATTAAGCGTTTCCGCCGCAAAAATACGTAGTATGCAATATACGATTCGCGAAATAGCTTTGCCATTTCCGTTTCATCATTAATTTTTTAACAGGTTTATCTCCGAGTGGACGACGAAAGCAATACAGCTTTATTTCAAAGGGCTATCGAAGGGTAATCAGATTGTGTTCAGGAGTTATGTTTATTTATATAACATGCGCTTAAGAGGGCGGTAGATAAATTTACGAGGCGCCTGAATGAGTAGTTGGTAGTGAAATATCAAGTGTTACCTTCACTGTCATGACTCTATTTCAACGCAATTTATATTGCAGGCGTAGGAGGTCCAATAATTATTAAAGTGCTCGGGTTATTTCCTTATTATTTACATAGTAATAATGTATAAGCGGGTATTTGCATTAATAACCACAACACTATTACAGTTTCTTATTACTCTCTTGATTTAAAGTTGAATAATTTAAAGTATCTAGTTAAAGAGTGATTATTGATATACATTTTTCGTCATTTTTATTCGATCGTTTTTATCAACACCGATCTTATCGTGGAAATACTGTTCAACATATTATAGATTATCATATATTTTTATAGACTAAAATGTAAGTCAAAAACTTAATTTTATTTTATCATATATTTTTATGCACAACTGCTTCTTTGAGATAAAATTTTTAAATCCTTTTGAAAGAATAAATGTCTCGTAATCACTAGCTGAACTAATTTTATAGTTGAAAGGATTTATAGCAATTAGCGTATCTCATGAAGTTCTCTATTATATTTCCGAAATATAATAAAGAACGCGCTCCCCTTCATTCTTATTGCTTTAATAATCGGGCTCCAATCAATTCTCCGGCACCCGCAGATTCCTCTATCACCCGTGAATCACTCCAAACCATTTAATCTTGATGGTCGATAGCCATGCGTTTCATTTGACGGTCGATGCGATTGGCTCCCTCGGACGCGACGCAATTCATGAAATTGGAAGCCATGCATCTCCATCCACTTATAGATCGCGCATTGCTCTTACATTTTTTAAATCGAACATCATTGATAATTTCAACACTGACTTAATAAATCGTGGTACCGCCGTTGGTCGAGTGCTTTTTCATTTTTTCATAACGCCTGTGCACATCCCGCCTTTTTCATCGATTGTATTTTATTGTCGAATGTGTTCACTGGCTGAAATTTTTACTTTTATTTCTTCGGATTCGTATGTAACGCGTCCACGCGTTAGAATGATACGATTGGTGGATCAATAAGAACGAAGACGAACGATGTTTTCATCGTATTTCTGGAAAATTGAGTACTAAGGAGAGAGAGGTGGAACCATTTTCGTTTTACACAATGAGAACGAGGTCGCTGCAACTCCCTTAGGAATGCTACGTACGCCGTAGTGATAAAAGCATTCCGCCAAGTGCGACGATAGATACGGAAATAGGTATAACATTGCCCATTCCTTTGCTAGAAGCAATAATGAAATAATAAAAAAAAATCGCTATTTTGGGGGTAACTGAATTCTCATGCCACATGGATTTATAAGATTTTTATGCGGCAGCTCATTTTTTTCTATCAGTCAATAACCGATATTGATCGCACTTCACAATGAAGTCAAGGAATCAATGAATAGACCGATTTCCTGCAAAAATAATATTATCGATATTATATTTAAAATTAAGGTTAATTTTTTTTATTCCTTTTTTTTATCTGGAAGGAACATTGTACGATATATAATTAGTGACTAAGCATTTTTAAATTATCACTCTTACGTCCCTCTTCCATACGTGTTTTATAGCGTTATTCAGCATAGTACTGAATGAAATGAGATCACTTTGAATAGTTAACGCCAAAGACACTATCCTCGTGCAATTCCTACGGAAAATTTCCATCTCGAGGATTTGCCAAGCCTGAAACTTTATAATGTGAGTTCAATTCTTGAAGATTTTTCTTGGAAAAAGACTTTTTTCAATCTTCTACTGCGCGCACTTAAATTTTTGCTATTTCCTAAACTTGGAGATTTTTTTCATCAGTAATAATCGAATTTAAGAATGTGACTCAATATAAGTTATCATTAGCGATAAAATTGCAACGTAAGCGAAAGAAAGTATATTATTATTTTTAAAATAAGAAAAAATTCAGTAATTTAATATTTAATTTTGCTGACGCTAATAATATCTCTTTTATAATTATTGTAACTTAATTAGTTTATTCAAATAACAAGACTATTATCTTACTTATTATCTTAACTAGCATAGTGATATGCGCTGCGGTTTACTTCTTTCGGTAAATATTTTGTAATAAATTTTTCTACAGTGTTATTTATTATGTAAATTAATGACATCAAAGTGATATTATATTCGATCTGCATGCCTGATTTGAAGCAGATTTAATTGACGAGATGTAATTTATATCATCGTAATTAAATTCATTGGTCGCATTAAATAGACTTTTCAAAGATAGAATATTTGTATAATATCCAACTGAATGTTATTGAAACAGTATAACAAAAGTGGACCCATAATTCTACCGTAGAAATTATTCGCGTGCAGTATTTGCATGATGAAATAAATTTCAGTTTGTTACTATATCATTAATTGTAATTTAAGCCAAACGCTGTCATCAATCTATTTTAAAGTTAGTTGCTTATAGTTATACTAATGTATGACATATAGTTAATATCATTGAAATAATTTATGCGCATTTAGCTTCAAATGCTGTTAAGAAAATGTCATCAAATAGCACATAAATTACGTATTGATCCTCTCAGTGCTAGAGAAAAAAAATCAGCTTGAAGAAATCGCTTATTACTACGAGAGAGAGAGAGAGAGGAGAGAGAGAGAGAGAGAGAGAG